AACTATTTTGAAATGGGGTTATCAAATGTCTTGCTTTTTTTTTTTTTACAGAGCTCTGCTGGGAAACATTCCACTCCCCTACTCCTGATGTTATTCAGTGTTTTGAGTGCCTTTGCTCTCTCTGCTGCTACATCGAAATGGTCTATATGAACTTCTGAAGAGCTGCTTGACAACCTAAACACTGATTATATTCCACATTATTAGATTAATTACTTAATGTAAGAAAAAAAATACCCTTAAGTCAAATTGTCAGATGCTACTTGGCTGTTATGTTGCATGTCTAGCTGATATGTCATGCCTCTCATTAGTTTACCTCTGGCTTTAGTCATTAGTAGATATCATTAGTTTTGTCAGTGTTTTAGGCATCATTTTAAGAGAGCATATTGTACCCTACCTATATGATTTATTTTTATTTCCAATAGGGAAAGCAATGAACTGACTGCCTGAAATGATTGGCGTGACAAATTAGAAAGTATTTGGTTATTCACCAAAGCGGACGAGGTCAAATAAATCGTTGTGTATGTGAGCTGAGCACTATGCCTGGTTCTGATCACATAAAATAAGGCAAACACAAACATCTGATAAGCAGTTCTCCATGGGACAGAATGGAAGATGCTAAACTAGGCTCAGAGTATTGGTTTTAGTCTATTGTAATCAGATGCGAGTTCAATATGGAGAATTGCAAAGCAAAAAAAAGTACTCTATGGGACTGAAATTTTGGGGGGTTAACTAAAGTTTATTCATTAAAAAAGTGTTACAGCTCAGAGCAAAGAAATGCCGAACTCTGTTCAAACCAATGGCAGATACCTAGAGATCTGTAGAGAGGAATAGGAGGCAAATATAACCCAGATTAGGCTGATAGTCTAAAGCTACTGAGAACCAACGCCTTTTCCCTTGTGAAGGAATGGAAAATTATTAAATTAATAAACCTGACAAGATCTTGGCTCCTTTTTTTTGAAGTATTTAGTCTAACCTGTGATATCTGAAATATCTGACATTTTAATTTCAAGAATGATGCTGACATCTGCAAGCAGGTACAGTCAGTGCGGCCACTGAAAGACCATGGCCCATTTTTGAGTTCAGGAGCAGTTCCACGCCTTGCAGCAAACTCTTTGGGAGCTGCCAGAGCCCTCTACTTGGTGTTAACAAAGTGCATTCTCCTGAAGCATACTTCTAATTAATGTCTTATTGAACACATACCTACTATTAAAACTACCTTAAATAGTAGTGTGCTTGTCTCCCAGGGTTTACTGCTGTAATTGGTGGGACGGATTTCCATTCCAGTTCCGCGGGGCCAGGATTTCACCTGGTTTTGATGTGCTATGCTGTCGTTTGCCAGCCATTGGGACATCAACCCCTAATTTAAGCATAAAGTTTTGCCTAAATATGATCTTCAAAATTTGGTGGTCCATTCGTTCCTTTGCCCAGCGCAGTGCCCTTCTCCGTGTCAGGCCCGCGCTGCACCCGCGCCAGCCCTGCCGCTGTCACCCACCCGGCTGGGGTGTCACACCAGTGACACGCGGGTCACAAGTGCCCCTTCAAGCTGCCGGCAGGACCCGGCCCGCGGGGCGCTCGCTGGGAGGTGGCCGGGGCTCCATCCCAGGCTCAGCCCCCCAGCCCCGCGCTGCTCAGCCATGCCCTGCCCGGGGCCCGGCTCAGCCCGGCTCGGCTCGGCTCGGCCCGGCCCGGGCGGGGCTCGCTGCCGCCGCGGCCCTGGGAACGGAGCGGGCGGGGCTCGGCTGCAGCCGGAGCCTTTGCGGGACGGGACCGGCGCCCGGAAGCCCCGGAGCTGAGGGAGCCGGGCCGGCGGCGAGGGGCGAGCGGGCCCGGCGGGCGCAGGTGGGAGCAGAGCCCGGCCAGGGCCGCCCCGCGGGGAGCGGGGCCGGGCGGGAGGCAGCGAGCCGGGGGAGGCCTGTGCTGCGGGAGGGAGACGCGTTCGGGGCCGGTGGATGGGGCGGGAAGCGGGTCTGTAGGAGCGGGCTGGGGAGGGGAAGGGTGGGATCGGAGAGGCGCTGAGAGAAATGTGTGGGCACGGAGCGGTTCGGGGCAGAGGGAGGGAGGGAGGGAGGGTGGAGGTGAAGTCGCTGCGGGGAGCCGGCGGTGTGTGAAGTTGGGCAGGGCGCGGAGCTGCCGAGCCTGGGGCTCAGGGCGCTGCTGGGGCTCTGCTCAGAAGATGCTCAGTGATGCAGAGCGGCGTGTAAAGTTATCAGAAATGCACACTTTACAAGTATTTGCGTGGTATCACGATTTCACACCAGGTTTTTGAAATGAGAAACGCTCTAGCAGTACAGCGCTTGTGGATTAAGTCAGAAACCCAGAGGATGCAGAGATAATGAATGTAATAATGCATATTATGGAATAAACTGGAAGGTAAAAGATAAATGCCAGAAGGTACGGCAAGTTGTTTCATTTTATTGAATCCTATAAATTGTGTTTTAAATCAGAGCGAGGAAGACTTAGATTCCAGAGAAAGCTTTTAAAGGAATGATTGGGTGGAGAAGACTGACACAGCTTTCAGCAATGGAGGGCTGTGTTATTTGGGACATAAAGAACATACACAACAAACTTTCCTAAAACTGAGAACCACAGTAGGAAGTTTATTTGTCAGGCAGCCTCTACACAGAAGGGTTGGGATCTAAGACAACGTTTACTTTTCAACAAACGTGCAGAATGACAAAATGGGTCTTAGAATGAACATTAGGTGATGAACTGGGGGGTTGCCTTTCTCCATGGGCACTGCATTTGGCTCACCTGAACTCTGTGTGAGCTCTGAGGTCTGCAGGTGAGTGTGAGGGAGGTGACAGTTGTGGAGGAAGTGATTCAGAATAACCTCTTCCTTTAGAAACTGAAGCTTAATATTCCCTTGAACATTGTTAGGCATTGTGAGAACTCGTGATTTAAAATCACATGTGGGATAAGGATCCATTGGTTTGGGGATGTGTGATGTTCTTGTTTGTAGAAGTAGTATGTGTGGCAAAAATACTGATTTTGGGAAAGGCTGGTTGTAGTAAGTAGAAATTCGCTTTCTTTAGAGTGATGTATTGTTAGGAGTGACTCTGCCTGCCTACACAGCCTAATTCCTTGTGCAAGTTACACTGTTGTTTGCAGTAACAGGAAAAAGGCAGGGATCATCTGGCCCAAGCACCTATGGAATTCAGGTCACCTGTGTCTGCTTAAAACAGTTCCAGATTTGTCAGTGTTAAGTGAGGACAACACATCCTTGATCTTTGGGACAGGCTTGCTAGACACAGCGATTCCTCCTATATTATTCTTGAGTTGCCTGTGACCTGGGCTCATTCTTCACGAGTTGCTTCAGTTCACACCAAAAGCCTGCAGCTTGCACAGGCTGCGGGCCTTGGCTGGAGCTCAGAAGGCTGCACAGCTGGATCACATCAATGGAGGGTGTCTCTAGAGGGGAGGAGAGGTTCTTAAGATCTGTACTGCTTAGGATCTAGCATGATAATGTCAGATGGTTCGGAGTTCAGGATTTTTCCACTGGGGTTTTGAACCTTGTCTTCTATTTATACCCCTTATACACTGTTCAGCTGTCTAATTGTATTTGCAATTGCTAGCTTTCTGCAGTGTCTACAGATTTATTTTCACTGTAGTATCTAGTTTGTGTTACTCTGCTCCAAGTAGGTCACCTTGGCTGAGGGTACCTGTGTTGCCTTGAGCACCCAGACTTGATTTGTGATTCATAAACGGCACAAGCGTAAGCTGTGGCTGAACCCCAGCTGGACTCAGTGTTCAGTCTCCCTGCACCTTATATCAAGCTCTTTCGTTGGCTTAATACATCTGCAGGAGTTGCATTCAAGCAGTCCTTCAGTTCATGGCATTGCCCTCCTGCTGGAGGAGGGATGGGCATTTGAACTAAAACTGAGAACTGAACATGTCCTTTCTCACAGAGTCTGGATGTGACTGTGGGATCTGTCTATACTGTGATCTATACAATGAACGCAGTGTGTGTACTGTGTGAATCAGTGAGAGGCACTTCAGGCAGGTTGTATCAAATTTCTGTGCTGGCAGGCAGAGTTTGCTTAATGACTGCTGTGTCAATATAAAACTGTTGCTCTACGGTGCAGAGTTGAAGGCTGCTTCTTACAAGAAATTCTGGTGTTAACATTTAGCTCAGTGAGGGCCTGAATGTCCTGAACGCTGAATATTTATACTCACTATGTCATTTGTAAAATGTTCATCAAACCAAATTCTCATCAGAAAAAAAATATCTGAACTTTGGCTTCTTAGGTTTGGTGTAAAGGATAAAGGGGGTGGGCCTAAAGAGCACTTAGCCACAAATCTCACATTTAAGATTCACAATGCCCAACTCCTCCTGTCTGATACGTAGATTAGAATGGTGATTTTTTTTTCCTGTGAAAGAAGGAAACAAACAAACAAACAGAAAACCTTTGTGAGATCATAAAAAAACTCAGTGAAGTTCCCTTTCTTTTAGGTTGTCTGTCAACCTGTAAGAAAACCTTACCCGATTCCCAAGCAATTTATAGCATTCTCAGAAATTGGACTTTAGTTAATAGATAATATGTAATTGCATTCCTTTTGTTAGACTTGGCAATGAGGGAATTTCCTGGTTGAGTGATAGGCCACTGAATCACTGATACAGCCTCCACTATCTTTGTAAAAAGCTGAGGTTTTGGAGCAAAGTTTAAAAGAAATCGTTGGTTGATCTTTAACAGTTACCCTTTAATGTGTAACTGCTCTGTGCTTAAGTGCACTTGCCAGTTCTAAAAAGCATCTGCATGATTTAAAAATGGCCAAGTGTTGTGATTTAACCCCAGCTGGCAATTAAGCCCCACACAGCCACTGGCTCCCTCCCCACAGTGGGATGGGGGAGAGAATCGAAAGGGTAAAAGCGAGAAAGCTTGTGGGTTGAGACAAAGACAGCTTAGTAGGTAAAGCAAAATCCACACATGCAAGCAGAGCAAACCAAAGAATTCATTCACCACATCCCATGGGCAGGCAGGTGTTCAGCCACCTCCAGGAAAGCCGGGCTCTGTCGCGTGTAACGGTGCCTTGGGAAGACAAACGCCGTCACTCCGAACATCCCCTCCTTCCTTCTTCTTCCCCCAGCTTTATATGCTGAGTAGGTTCCATATGGTGTGGGATATCCTGTGGGTCACTTGGGGTCAGCTGTGCTGGCTCTGTCCCCTCCCAACTCCCTGTGCACTCCCAGCCTCCTCACTGGTGGGGTGGGAAGCAGGAAAATGTAAGCACTGCTCAGCAATAGCGAGAGCATCCTTGTGTTACCAGCACTTTCCAGCACAAACCCCAAACACAGCCCCATACCAGCCACTGTGAGGAAAATGAACTCTACCCCAGCCGAAAGCAGCACACTGAGATAGGGCTGTGGCGAGAGAGATGACGTTGCAGGAGCAAGGTCCACCACTCATCTACTGTGTTGTGCTTGATATCCGTGTCGTGAACATTATTTGAATGTAGTTATGTTTTTAATTTGTTTTCACCAGTTAAAAATATTTTTTATGTCAGTGGAAAAATCAGAAATACTACCTGAAGGAAAACTTCATGTGAACAAATCTTTGTTCCTCAGTATCTGCTAGAAGAGTAAGGAAAAAAGTTTAGGATTTGCTTTTAGCAACGCTTCTGAAGAAGTGTACAAGCTGTAAGAGAAGCATAGCTGTTTTATTTTTTTCAGAGTGTACTTAATACACTTTATAATGTATTCAGGAAGAAGAATGGGTAACAAACTGGAAAACAAAAGAAAGAGCAAGGTAAGTTTTAAAATAAGAAAGTGAGTTGCAGTGATTTAGTTGGGAAGTGCCATGTATTTGGGGATATTTGGGCTGATAATTATAGATAGCTTATGGGAGGGAACAAAGAAGAAACCTGTCTCCAGTATAAGGAAAATGGAAAACATAATAGTGACATTTTAAAGTGAGAAATACAAGGTTTAATATTATTGGAAATGTTTATAACATGGTTTATTGAGATTACACAGACATGGCAGATTATATCTTGTGGGGGTGAGGGGAGAAAGAAATGCACTGTTGAATGATAGCAGAACAAACTTGGCAGTTAAAATATTCATATGTATGTAAAATCTACTTCAGAACCCAGTTCAGCGGCTCTTGACTAGTTTTGGAAAGGTCTGTGCAGCCTCAGTACCATCTGGGACATTTATCATAGAATCAAAGAGTGGTTTGGGTTGGAAGGAACCTTAAAGATCATCTGGTTCCAACTCCCCTGCCATGGGCAGGGACATCTTCCACTAGACCAGGCTGCTCAGAGCCCCGTCCAGCCTGGCCTTGAACACTTACAGTGACAGAGTTGCTGCAGTTCTCTGGGCAGCCTGTTCATGGACTGCCCCAGCCCATGGCCAGGACCTTGCACATGGCCTCTTGAACTTCATGACGTTCCTTCCACCCATTTATTGTCCATCCATATATTTTTAGTATTAGATACTACTTTTGGTTAAAAGAAGGCTGGTTCCAACAGACGGAATATTTATGGAATAGAACTTTCCTCTGAGGGTTGTAGTTGTGTTGCAGAGAGTGACATTGTTGCTTGTTAGTTAGAGTTACTTGTGTGTTATCCAGCACAGGAAACAGGGCAGTGCATGTGCAAAAGCACAGAAGTCTTATAAAAATAGGTTCTTCAGGTTCTGTGGGTCAGCTCTTGCTCCACCTTGCAGTTGTGCTTTTCCTTTGTTGACAGCTTATGGTATTTGTACAGGTGTAGCATCAGCAGTGGGCTCACATTCCATTGGAGAAATATGAGAATGCAATCCTGTTCCTTTAATCTGCTGATTTCAAAGCAAATGCCCAGGAAGTGTGTCCATACCTGTTCCACTGGAATGAAAGAGCCTACTTTGCTTTCCACTCTGGTTTTCCATCCATAAGGCAGACTCAATCAGTGTTTATTTTCTGGCACATCCCTTATGTAGAATTTGGTGTACTGGCACACAGAACTTACGCTTTACCTTTGATGGTTTTAAGAGGCTGGTTGTCTGCTTCTGTTTGGTTTTGTTTTTTAAATAATATACAAATACCTTTTGTTTGAGTTAAGCAATGTTAAATTGATTAATCATAAAATAGAATAAGAGCTAGGAATAATAACTTCTGTAACTTGGCTTTTTACTCTAAAAGACTGTCAACAGTGAAAACATTTCACAACTAGGCTGGAAGGAATTTAATTCACATAATGCCATCACTGTGAAGACTAGAAACATAATAGTAATTAGTATATTTTTCTTTTTTAACTTTAACTTTCCTTGTGACAGAGCTGGCAGGAGTAAAGAAACAGTTGCCAGTAGAGGTTATTTTCGTGTCAAATCTTTTGGTGAATTTAACCTACCTTTTTGTAATGCAACTTATTGGAATTAATTGTTAATTGATTTTTTGTGTGTGTGTTATTCTGTCATCTACTTCTTAAGATAGTGTTGGGTGCCTAGGGCTTTTTGGATGCTGACTTTTTTTTCAAGTTTTCTTCAGTTCTCTCTTGAAGTTTTAGAAATTTGAGGAAAATTAAATTTAATGAATATAATAAAAGTGAGTCAGCTGCAGTGACTGTAAAAAAAGCTTTTTCATTAACTCAGGCAGAATTAGTAAAATACAATGCAGAATACTGGATAGTTTGGGATACGGAAAGAACTTGCAGTGTAATTGATGCAGGAGGAATGCACAGTCAAATAAATGAAATTTGGGTCATTTGTGTGACCTATCACCCTTTTTATTTATAAAATAATATATAAAATGTACAGCATCCCCACCTTAAAATTTCACTGAGCCTAAAACATGCTAATCAGCTAGATAGTTGATGTTAGACAAAGCTGAGTCTTAACACTTCTGTGTTCACTTTATCTTAGTATGTTTGAATCAGCATGGTGTGAAATTTTGGGAGTGCCTGGATCTGTGGAGTTGCTCCTGCTCTCTTGTTCTAGCAGATGGTGTTAGACCATGCTCCTGGAAGGATCTTGGTAATATGCAGTATAACTTCAACTACCTTTGGAAAATGCCTCAAGATAGTCTCTAGTCTCTGACTTTAACTGACGAGAATTTCAAATAAGTCAGTTTCCTTCCAGAGTTCTCTTTTTTAGTGTTTTTTAGATACCTCAAACTAAAGTAATTCTGTCAGATTTTGAGTCCTCCTACAAACTCAAGAATAGGATCAGTTCATAGAGATAGAATAATCCTTAATTTTGCACAGGATTTTGCAGTGCTAGATAGTTAGCAGCTGAGAAACTCAGAAGTTTATACCATCTGTTCTTTAAAAGACAAAATCTTAAGAAAAGTCTTGTAATCTCTTTAGTAAACCGTGATTATTATCAGCAGGTATTGTTGTTGAATGGAGGGAAGAAAATAAAAACATATATGGTATCTTTGCTGTTCATTAAGTCGTATTGATTATGTTCCTTTTGGTCTAATTTCATCTGCAAACATTAGAATTACTGGTATTTAAGGAGGAAAAATGTAGGGATAATATAAAAATAAAATTAAAATACTAAATTTTAGTCTGTGTTGGAGATACTACAAAGGGAGATGAGAACCTGCAAGTCAAAAATCCATTCATTTTGTCTGAATGAATGAATGAGATGGAAATATGTGATTTTCCACTTTAAAAAAATCTACTTCCTTTGAAGGGATATTTTTCAGGCATTGCGTAGTATGGTACTTTGAGCTGAAGGTATTACTTCCTGTATAGACTGTTTTGCTTTGTTTTCTTTTCTGAGTCTATAAAACCTTTCCAGGGTCCTTTTTGTTTGTACTTCTAAGGAAAACAACTCTTTGTGGTATCCATCTGTATTTTATCCACCTGTGTGTTTGTGTTCTGAAGTCGAACTCTGTGTGGCCGTAAATCCCATCTTGGCTTCCTGCATAATGACTCCTGTATGGCCCTGCCTTCCTGTGGCTGTAGGGTGTGTCTCCATGGTACACTGAATAAATGACACACAGGCAGCTGACTTTTTTATTCACCTGGACTAATAGAAGCAAAGAGTAATGAGCCTTGCCCCTGAGGTAACAGATGTGTTAGGCTGCATTACAGTCAACGAGCTCAGGTCCTTGCAGGCTGTAAGGTACAGTTCAAAAGGCACCGAGTTAATGGGACCCCTCAACTTCCAGTATTTGAATTAGCAAACCTAAATCTGAGTTTTCAAACAGATGCACCCTGCAGAGTACTGAGTAGTGCGTCCAAAGCCCAGTAAGAAATCTGTATTGTAACTGTACAGGAAACGCTTTGGGAACTTTAATTTCATTATTGGCTTGAAACAATCAACATGTGGGCTGTTATTAAGACAACGGTTCATTTATTCTGTGCCTGCACAAGCTGTTGCTGTGAGGGGAGCAGGAGCTCATGGCTACCAGCGAGCAACTACACCTCTGGCAGTAATCTGTTAATCTAAAGCTGCTGTGAAACTGCAGTTGAAGACAGCTCAGCTCTTTGGAGTTCAATACTTGGCTCTTTCTCTGGATCCAGTTCCCTGTTTGCACAGAGTTCTATGATGTGATAAGCAGCTCTTTTAAAGGGAGCAGGAAAGCTGATAAGATGTTGTGTGTGCTTAGTAGAGGGTGGTTATATCATTGGCATACATTTCAGGACTCTGTAGTTCCTGCTCTGTGAACCAGCTTGAAAGTACAGTGGGAAACTTCACACCCTTGTTCTCTACAAGCCTGTCTCGTTGACCACTGACTTTTAACAAATATCCTTATTTCAACTGTCCCACTGGACACATTTTGTGTGAATGTTTGAAACCCTGAAACTGCTTTAGTGAGTTACGGTAAAGAAATGTTTCCTGCTACTGGCACCTTTTTGAGACACACTGTCCGGGGAAAGTTCCCTTTTTTGTCATGATTACTAAGGAAGACAAGGCTGTAGTTGAAGATAATATGGTGGTATGTATTCCTCACGGCTTTGCTGATGGGCTTATCAAACTGTTATGCTTTTTGTTATGTTTTCATGCTGATTACTTTGGTACTTGCTCATCAAACAGCGTACTAGTGATTTACTTATTAAAATTACATTTTAAGCTGCTTCATAAATAGATGGTTGTATTTCAGTAAGAAATTATTGTGAACATTATTTTTAATATTGTGACCTGTTTTGAAGGTTAAGGAATTTTTGATATCTAATAAATTTGAATGTTTGTAAAACCCTTTGTCATTTCACAGGCTCACAGAATGCAGAAATTTGGGTCCAAGTCAGGAAAGATGTGTGTTCTCATTATCTGTATTTTGTTCAGAAGCATTTTGAAAACTGAAACCCAAAAAGTTTAAAAACTTATTTATCTGTAGGAGTGCTTTCATGAAAATCAGTGTTGTTCATCTTAGCAATATATTGCTCTTTGTGTTTCTTGTTTGTCAGGTCTCAATACTAAAAAACGAGGTAAATGGAAAAGGTGAAAGCAGTTGTTTAAGTTGGCTCACATAAATGTCGGTTTTCTCTAGTATCATAGCCAGGCCTTTTAGTGAAATTAGTGAAAGTTCTGTATCTTCTCTCAGTGGATTTTTTTTCTTTCGCTTGTTCTCTATCTTATCTATGTTGCTGGTATTTCCCTGTAGAGTATGATTTCTGAGCTTGCATGTCCCCTCTTCATCCCTTTATAGAAACTGTTCTTCTGTTTCTCCTTCTTGTTCTTAACTGTAGCAAATTTATTCTTCAAAGTTGTTGTTCATCGATTAACAAATCATCTCTGTTTTGTTGTTGAAGATGCTTATTCCGCAGTTAACACCCTCATGTAAAGGATTATTCCACTAGAACCAGTGGAAAACATCAGCGAATCTTAAATATTGTCTGCAGCTTTCTTCTTGATACTTTATATTTCTGTCTGATTTATATTGTTCAGTGCAATTGCATCTTTAGTATTTGTTTTTTAAGGAGTTAAAGGATATTATTGTTCATACCAAAGTATCTCCTATTAAGATTCCTTAAAGGAACCTTGTGTATTTCTTCTTCAGTTTCTGCATCCTGACATCTTTTTTTTCTTTCTTTGCCAGTAGGCTTTTACACATATTTTTTGCAACCACGTGATTCTTGAGATAAACAATTTTATCGTGTAGGATACAAGTATGTACTTCATATCTTTGTGGCTGTTAGCAATTCTCACCTCTTTGCAGGTTACTGCAGTGTCTCCTGAGTGTCCATGACATGTAGGTAATAATTTGACTTGGAATACATGACCGGAGAAAATCCATAAATGCTTAGAGACAAGATACAGGCAAGTCAGAAACATTTGAAAAGTAGAGCTCTCCAAATGTCTGTAACTATAGCAATGAAATGCATCTTGAGCTAGAGAAATGCAGTCAGCAAGAAACGGCTTCAGATCCAGCTACAAATATTTACAGGTAGCAGTATGTTCTTCATCAGCGTGTACAAAGTTAGATAGTTAATGAGCCAGAAACTGTGTGCCTGTAGGTGTGGGACATGCACAGGGACAGCTCTGGCATGTGCATCCAATAAATGTGCCATCTCTAAGCTTCTAAAACTGAGAACTACATTCGTTGTCTTGTTACTGGTTTTTTTTTTTTGCTTGAAAACATATTTGTTAACTTCTATTTACTGACTTGATTTTACTTTGGCATTATAAAAAACCGCTCTGTTTTTGAGTAAGTGGGCAGTGAAGGCAGTAGTAGTTATCTTTTTATAGAAAGCATTTGTTTTTGTGCATATGGAAGTTCTTCTTAATATGAAGAAAATTATGTGATATTCTGAGCAGCACTGAGCTTTTTTAAAATTTCCTTGCAATATATTGTGCTTGTAAAATGAACATTACTGTCTCTAATATTAGACTCCTGCACTAAGTTAATGCTTTAATTGGTGACAAATTGCAAGAAAAACTGAATTCCAACTTGGTGGAAGTTCATGATAGACATGAAGATGATGCAGCTTTACTAAGAGAAGCTTTGTGGTGGTCAGTGCAGTATGAGAAAGGAGGTGCAGTCACCTGGTCATTTGTATTCGACTGATGTTTTTCTGAGCAGGATAATCAGCAGGGCAGGTTTGGTGCTGTCTGCCCTGCAGCTCCTCCATCACGTCTTCCTATCCAGCCCTGCTTTCCCACAACTCTCCCTTTCGCTCCTCCTCAGCCGTACCTCCCATTTCCATGTGAAGCAGCCCAGCCCTCGCCCCGGGTTGTGCTGGCGCGGTGCCCTCTGGCCTGGCAGGCTTTGGAGCAGGGAAGAGAGAAGATCCCTTCGCTCTGGGAGCGGCCCATGGCAGCAGGGCATTCTGCTGTACCACACTGTGGGCCTTTTGCACCTTGAAAATACCTCCTGAGCCTTCACCTACACAAAGAAATCCGCACTTCAGATCCGTGAAACTTGGGAGTGAAACCAGTCAGTGGAAAGCTAATTATCAGCTAATACTTCTTATTTTCCTTTTTATTTTTATTACAGATAAAAAATATTCAATTTCATTTCTCTGTTAATTAACACTTCTCCTAATATTCTGATATATCTCCCCATTTGCATTCATGTCTTTGAAAAACACTGTTAAAGTGATAATCTCCTTTTGCTTTTTAAATATCAGATTTGTGTTTTCCTTTGACTGAGCTCCCTGGACAACTTTTTAAAATATGCTTATTCCCAGTACCTACAATATTATCATTGGGTTTGTTTTTTTATTCTGTTTCAGAAAGAAAAAACTCAAGAAATGTCTGCCAATTTAAAGTACCTTTCCTTGGGTATCCTGGTTTTTCAGACCACAAGTTTAGTCTTGACCATGCGTTATTCTCGGACACTGAAAGAAGAAGGACCCCGTTACTTATCCTCTACTGCAGTAGTTATTGCTGAACTTCTGAAGATTTTGGCCTGTGTTCTGTTGGTCTACAAAGACAGCAGTATGTGTCAAATTTTGCACCAAGTAATTTTCCTAATCAATATGCTGTATTGTAGTGGCAACTGCAAAGCAGCCATGTGAGTACAGGCGTACAACAAAGCATTTCCCTTCTCCTTGTGTAAGAAATAGTCTTGGAAAGATATTAATCACACTGTGTATTTGCTGGAGAAAGTTCTTTTTAAAGGATGTGGGCACTGAGGAGTGCAAGAATAAATTTTCTGCCAACAACTCGAAGTTTGTGTTTGCTCAGGCTTTTTAAGAAATCCAAATGTAGAAGCAGGAAAAAATGAAAAGCTTTAAGTGTGTCCAAAGCACGAATGATAATTTAGAGGCCCATAATAAACAGCAGATGAAGGAGGAGGAGGAAGCAATTTCATTGTTTTCAGGAAGAATCACGGTTTTAAGCTCAAAAGAAGTGTATTCAGATTCACTCTGTTTCTTGTTTTGTACATTTTAAGCTTGGTTTATCTTGTTCCTGGCACAGATATTTGATTTTCAACAGCTTAAAAATATTGTTGTATATGTATAAATATAGATGACACTCTAGGGTTGTAAATATGTACTTTTTAGGTGATATCCTTTGATGTATCATCTTCAAATACTGATATGGTTTCAATAAGATTTATTCAAAGTCTTTTGAATAATTGTTTTAGTTCTGATATTCCAGTCTTTGGGAAGACACTTGCAGCCATTTTTCCTTACAAATACAAGACTTGTGAACATCAAACAAACATAGATAGTATTTTGAGGTCTTGATATAGTGATAGCTGTAAAAAGGGGCAACCATTTTGAGAACAGAGCATTGCTATTTCACCTTTTAACCCCTCTCCTTTTAATGAATGTCTATTTCTTTTATTGTTTTTGTGGGTAGAGTGCAATTTACGGACTCTGAACAGAGTGCTGCATGATGAAATCCTTAATAAACCCATGGAAACTCTTAAACTTGCTATTCCTTCGGGAATTTACACTCTTCAGAACAACTTGCTGTATGTAGCATTGTCAAACCTAGATGCAGCCACATACCAGGTATTGTATATTTGGAATTCTCTGCAAATTTAACAAAAAAAAAAAAATCCCATGAATTATGCAGTAGTAACAGCTTTTGGTTCTTCTAGGTTACGTACCAACTGAAAATTCTCACCACAGCATTGTTTTCTGTGTCCATGTTGAGCAAGAAATTGGGTGTATACCAGTGGCTGTCATTAGTAATATTGATGACAGGAGTGGCATTTGTACAGGTAAATGTTAGCAAGTGGCTTGTGCTCTTTTAATGTGTTTATTCAAGGAACTTGGATTTCTATACTGATTATACAGCTTTCTGATTCCACCAGCTGCACACGAGCACCAGAGTGTAGTCAGGAACTGCGAATCACACCTGGCCAGGTCTGGAGGACACCAGAAATGGGTCAAAGGCAGAAGATAACACCTCTTTTGCAACCCAGTGCTCTACTGTAGAATGTGACAGGGCCTCTGGAGCAACCTGCAAGTAATAATGATAGCAATGTTTGTTAGCATGTGTCTTCAGACATTAGGAATTCACAGATCATCTCTGCCAGGACAGGCCAGGCTCACTTTGTCATAGGGTTGGTAAATTTACTTGAACTATTTCAAAAGGCAGAACTGGCCTCAGGTCTAAATAGTGCAGGCACCAGAGTTTGTAGTTTTCAGAGGGCAGTATAATGGCATGAGAGACTATTCTAAGAATTTTTAGCAGATTTCAGCATATCCTAGAAATTTTTATTTTTAAACTTGAGGATTTGAAAGAAGATATGATGATGAAATTCAGTAATTAAAAATGAGAGCAAAGTATTCTGACAGTATTTAATGGACTCCTCAGTATGTTTTTGCCTGTGGTATTGCATTTTATTCAGTTGGCATTAGACACATTGCAGGATTTAACTAGTCTGCATAATCACTGAAGAGGGGCACATGCAAAAGACAGTTCACCCCATCCTAAAGACAGCTGGTGTAAGTAGTTTTCTATCTGTACCCCTGTTTATAACCAACTGTTGGGTGGCACAAGTTGGTGGCTGTGAATGACCACGATAAGTCACACCGGGATTCAGAAACAGTTCTGGCTTGTAAGACATAAATCCTGCACCTGTTTAAATTCACCTGTTTAAATTCAGGCACAATTTTACTCCTTACATGTACATAGAAGGAAAAATTGTAGCTTTGCAGGCCTCTAAAAGTATTTATGGTGCAAAATGCCAAATTTGACAAGCACGTGACTGTCTGTGTTGAGTAGCTGTTACTGTTGCTAGAAAACAAGTATGCATTTTATAGATGCTCATGACTGGCTTTAACCAGTGAATTTTGTATAACTGTTTTTGCATCCAGTGGCCTTCAGACTCTCAAGCAACACCTGCTAAGGAGCATTCAGCGGGGTCGCAGTTTGTGGGGCTGATCGCAGTGCTCATAGCCTGCTTTTCGAGTGGATTTGCTGGGGTTTATTTTGAGAAAATTTTAAAGGAAACTAAGCAGTCTGTGTGGATCAGAAACATTCAGCTTGGTAAGTTTATTTTTAATTATCTGTTTAAGATACTACATTCTGAAGAATTAAGATAAATGTGCAAAATTTGTGTATATATAAAAAGTACCACATTTTAGTGTGCTGCGTAAATACTATTTTAAAACCAAAAGTATAAACTCTGCTAGATAGAATTCTAGCACTTACTTTCTAATCTCAACCTAAGTTCGTAATTTAATTTTTTAATAGAGTATCTGAAAGTTTGTACAGAATCTGTCAATTGAATTTGTGTTTTAAAATTTTATAAAGGATATTATTATATGCAGGATTCTGGGTATCCTCTGTGTTTAAAAAGATTGTCTTCACTAATTCAGAAGATCTGATAAACACAGATAGTAATCATTTTTCCAAACAAAGCAAAACTACTTTGTTTGTGGATAAAGTTGAGGTAGTGAATTATAATTATTTCAGTACAAAGGTCAGTTTGTTTTAGTTGTCTGTATAATCACTGGAGAGAGGCATTTGCAAAAGACAGTTCATCTTAACTATTTTAATGCCCTTACCTATTATGCACCTGTTAGTAAGAAAATACCTTCTATTTCCAAAGTAGTTCTGGGTCTTCTAGACCCAAGATGTTAATGACAGCAGAAATGATCTGTGTTCCTGAATGAGTTTTCCCTCACCTCAAAGCAATCTCGTCCAGTTTATGGGGTTTGAAATGTGAAGTTCAGTAGAATATGTTTACTATTGAAATTGTTTTCCGTTCAAAAATAAAATTTTTCCCTTTTGATAGAAGAACACTGGACTCACCAAATTACAAACTTATTAGTCTAATCTCAACTTCTTCTTTTGACATTAAGTATCTACTAGAAAATATTCACCGTGTTTGAGACTGGTTCAGGAGAATCTCACTGTGAAGATCCTGGTCTGAACTGGCAAACTGCTGATTGCGGCTCTTGCTGTGCCAGAGGCCCTCTCCTCCACTAAATGTTCTCCCTGTTTTTCTCTTCAGGTTGTGGTGTGACTTCAGCCTTCAGTCATAACTTGTTTCAGGGAAACTGAAATTGTGTTTAAGTGAATTTTGCTATATGCCATAAACAAAAATCACACTGTTCCAGTAGAGAGCAATGGAAAATCAGTATATAAGGATATCCTAATGGAAACAGTCAAGCCTTGTTATTAGTGTGGAGAACAGCTTTTGAAAGAGAATAGCAAAGCAATTGCATTTGGATGGGATGATATTGCGAGTGGCAGTCCAGTTTGAAAAGCAGAAATGCATGAGCAGCCCCTGAGGGTAGGGAAGCCTGTTTGCACATTTTTCTCATGAAGCTTTTAAATCAATTTTGTACTTTCAGGATTTTTTGGTAGCATATTTGGACTGATGGGCGTATACATTTATGATGGAGAACAATTGTCAAAGAATGGATTTTTTCAAGGATACAATAAACTCACTTGGGTGGTTGTTGTTCTGCAGGTGAGATATCTTTGTATCCCATGTTTCTGTGAAGGCACTTAGGGATTTACTCTTCTATAAATGACTGGGGAAACTAAGGGGTGTCATTGAAGCTACTGAGAATTCTATAGTCAAAAGTCTGATCTATCACTATTAGAATAAACCTCTAAATGAAAACCTGGAAAATATATAGCAAGTATATGATTAAGTATTTTGCAACTTGAAAGCATGTAAGCATTACTTATTTTGTGATGTTTAAAATACATATATATATGCCCTTCCTTCTGTGGCTAAAAATGTATAGTACAAGCATTTCCGCTCATTAATGGTGGCAATATCAACAATTTCTTTAATGGGGAAAGAGCTACTCCTCCAATATTTATTTTTCAGCAGTGCATATCCATAATATTATTAAATAAATTTATTGCTCCTAAACATAGACAAAAGCTCTCCCTAAAGCAAATGCATGGTGTTAAAATAGATGCTGTCTGTCAAATTACCAGTTTGTGAATCCAAACCTCACTATTTTTTCAGGCACTTGGAGGGCTGGTAATTGCTGCTGTTATAAAATATGCAGACAACATTTTAAAAGGATTTGCAACTTCTCTCTCTATTATACTGTCAACACTGATCTCCTATTTCTGGCTGCAAGATTTTGTCCCTACAAGGTAAGAATTATTTTCCATGTATGCTGGGAAAAAAAAAACCCAACAGCCCAGGCCACACTTTCCGAATGTTCAGGTACCACTTGCACATCGCAGTTTGGTTTCGTACCATAACCAGTAGTTAGTTTGTTCTGCCCGGTTGTCCGGATGCCGTTTCCAGCGGGGTCAGGAGCCCGTGGCTGGCGGATCCCGGCGGTGTGGGCGCTCCGTGCGGGCCGTTCCCGGTCTGTCCCTTCCCTTTCCCGCATCCCGCACATCCCGCGCATCCCGCAGGGCGGGCGCTGCGCCCGGGGCGCCCCCTGGCGGCGGCGCGTGGCACAGGGGGGTCACCGCTCCGCGTGTCCCCGACGGGCCGGGCACAGGGACAGGGACAGGGACAGGGACAGCTCCTCCCGCACCGCCTGGCATCCTTCTCACCAGTCTCTGACAGAGCTAACCGCAGTCACGCACCCGTGGAAGTCACACTGCAGCACTGGGATGCCCGAGGGCACGCAGAACCCCGAAGGCAGAGCCTGTTGTAAATGCCACACTGTATTTAGTAGGGAAAACAGCCAAGAAGGAAAGGGCTTGCTGTGTGCTTCCAGGGTCGGGACACTGAGTCCTGATATTCTGTGAGTGAGATTTGGTGAGTGGTTCTGTGCACCTCGGGTTTTGTACATGGGTGGGTTCAGAGCAGTGCTTGTCTTGGCAGTGCATGTTAATATATGGAGTGCAGAAGTAATAATCCCACTTCCAGATATATATTAGAATTTTGCTTATAACTGACAAACACTCCTCCCATATGTTACACATACTCATAGCATAAAAATATTTTAAATAATATTTACAACTGTTGTATGTGGCACAAGGAAACATGCTTTTATTAAAACTATGTAAGTGCAATACTGTGGTTCCTTCTAACCTTACCCATTCTGTGATCCTGCAATATTACCAGGGCCTTACTTAAACATTCCAAAACGGAAGCAGAGTGACTATTTAGGCTTAAAAAGTGGAAGACGTTAAACTTAGATGATAAGCAGCTTGTATTTGTGCCATTAAAATGAGTGTACAGAGTGGTTTAAGAATTTCTGTGTACTCAAATGGAAACTTAATAAGTAACTTAACAGCTTCAGCAAACATGTTGAAAGGGAAACAGTGGTAAATAATTAGATTAAATAGAGCCACGTAGCAGCATGGAGAACTTGAAGCCATCCCATTTAATAAAACTTGGTCAACTTGAGTTAATCAAACTTAATCTTTAGTACGTTGCTTATGCTAACTGACTATATTTGATCTGAAACTGCATACTTGTTTCTGTCATGTCAACAAACACTTTTGATTGGAGTAATAGATGTAAAGTACTTAAATGCTTGAATGTGTTACAATGGTCCATGCCCAGAAATAGGGGAACTGTGTTCTCTGAAGGACTGTCATGTCATGTGCCACAGTTTTCTTAGCATTTGGTTCAGAAGATCAAATTGTCAACATTGTCACATCTTTATGAGAAGGTTCTTTTCTAAAATTTGTACTGATCATCTCTGGGCTTTGGATATTTTGTTTCAGACTTGTAACTATCAAAACAACTTGAAAGGCCCATATGACACAATACAAAAGATGCCTTTATTATCTTTTCCTGACATAAATCTTTATGTATCTGCCAAAAATTAGATTATACTGACTTGCAAACTAGTTCCTGGGCCACAGTAATTTGTTTTGACATAAACTTTAGATTTTAAAGCAAACACAGCTCCAACAGCATGAAGTATGTAAGATGTTAAAAGGGACTGGGTAACCACAGTAGTAGCACTTCAGCTCCTGCTTGCATTTTGCAAACAGCTTTATATAAAAGCTTTAAAAAAAATAAAACCAAAAAGATTGCTTTTGACAATTGTTTCATGAAAGTATAATTTTAATTTTCAGAATATGTCAGCATAGTGATACATTAATTTGTAGTTATAAGTTTCCTATTTCAACAACTTCCTGCATCCTTCCAAAATATGCAAATTATTTTGTTCTTTATAAATTGGACAAAAATAATTTATCTTTCCATTTTCCTCATGAAAAAATGTCCTTTCTTTTGTTTGTATTACATAAATAGATTTGCATCAACTAAAACAAACTTTTTTTCCTGTCCCTGTTCTATTCAGTGTCTTTTTCTTCGGAGCCATCCTTGTAATAGCAGCTACTTTCCTATACGGTTATGATCCCAAACCTGCAGGAAATCCCATTAAGGCATAGCAGACTTCCTCATCAACCTGCTTCTCAAGATCACGCACTGGGGGCCTTGCTAGCAATGGCATGTGGGAAGTGTCATTGTGCACTGCAAGGGAAGGATTACTGCCCTGGAGAAATGCTGATGATAGTTCTGAAAACCAGAGGCTTACAGCTGGATGGTGACACTGATCTGTAACCCACGGGGGGGGAAATGTCAGGGGAATGCCCAGTGCAACTTGCTAATAAAAACTTGAACCAAAAGTTTCCAAGAAACTACAATTAGGAATGTTTACAGCTTTGACAGAGATTGCATCAAAAGAATTTACTGTATTGACTGCTGCAGAAAAATGTCCTATGCACTCTTTGAAAGAGCACATGACAACGTTGTCAGATTGTATGTTTTTGCGATTTGATTATATTTAATCTTAGTAAATGTTTTTAACTGTTTGTCTATTTACGTGTAATGAGCTGAACATCATAGATCTAAAGTGATGGTTCTAATTAGGTATTCCTTATTAAAACTGTGAAAATTGAAGTATGATTGAAAGACACTTTCACAATATCAAATATTTTTATATTTTTAGAAAGCTGATTTAATAACAGAAATCTGTTATTAAATGATAATATTATAATTCTGTTGCTTATATAGAAGTATTGTAAGAATGTTAACATTCTCACCGAGGTACACAAAGGGAGAAATTCAGAGTGAAAGCTGGAAGTCCATGTTGATACTCCAGCCTCCATCAGCCTGTGGTGTTCCAACAGATGGAATAACTCTGGGAACACTGGCTGGAGGTTATGGCACTAACCTGGTGGTATGATTAGGGTTATGATGGGTGCTTGCTCAGATGTAATGTTCATTCTTGTTATTTTTATTGATTATAAATCAACTTTTTGGTAGAACCTTAAAAGTAGTTTTTATGCTTTAAATAGCCTCTGAAGATTTTCTTTAAACCACAATTTAAAAAAAAACCCAACATAATAAACGTTTTAAAGGCATTATTGTTGTCTGTAACAGCTCCATCTGGAGCTATTAAGGTATGGTATCTGTATACTGTACTGTACTTTATTACAGAGGAGTTTTTTAAACAAGTGTTGTTTACTCATGAACTCTCCAGTGCTTTTTCTGTGCATTTCTATGTAATGGCTTACTTAGAGTTTTGGTGAGGTTTTTTTAATTATTATTTTATTCTGGGAGTCCTTGAGCCAACAGACCAAAATGGTTTCTCTGGAGCTATTCAGTCTAGTAGTGGAATTACTTTAATAGGAAACAGTAGGAAAAAGTAATCAAATGTGCAATAGCTAAATGTAAAAGCATGCTATTGGTCTGTTTTAAAAAAAAACTTCACAAAGAGACCTTGATGCAGTTAGATCAATTAGACTGTTATTAACACTTCACTTGAAGTATTTGCATATAGTCAGAAAGACCAAAAAAAATCTGGAACTAATAAACAAATAAGCTGTCTTAAAAATCACTGTTTTTCAGGAGACTGTTCACAATGGATATTAATGTAGTGGCTCTTACCCACGTTACACCTGTGGTGGTATGCATTTATAGAAAAACTTATCAGGAGTCCCTTACCAGTAAAATGGCAAGTGGTAAAAACATCTTAGTTCCCTTGTTTCCCCCGCCTCATGCTCTCTCCTCTGTCTTGTGCTAAAGAAAACATGTTAAAGAGGAAGGTGTTTTAAAATGTTTACTAAAGTACTTCATCCAATTCACAAGGAGATTCTGGAGGAGTGCTCTGAGATTTCTTAATGAAGTGTTGTAAATGGGAAAGGAAGAATTCTACTTATGTCAGTCAAGTAAAAACAGTGGTTTTCTTCTCTTGGGTGTTTTTGTTCTGCCAGGTGTGTTATCAAGGTCTTGTTTGTTTATCATATCAAAGCAAGACATAAAAGAACCGTCAGAGTTACGCCAAGGGCTTGCTGAGCTTGGTGAACTGTGAATCTGTCCCAGCGTGTTGTCATTGCAGGAGCTTTGCTACTTGGCAGTCAAACTGATCTTGTAGTACCCTAAATTGGCATCCTGTGTTAGTATCAAATCTCCTACCTATAGCATTCAGTGGGGCAAAATCTTTGAAAAATTCCGTGTGGTGATTCCTGCCCTGCAGTGCACAGGAGGGGAGATGTGTGCGTGGAACAGCCACTCACAGTGTGCTTGGGGCCAGAGGGAAGTGTTTGTAGTCATATCTGAACTGGAGTTTGGCCTACACAGGGATACTTTTAATCATGAATTGCAGTACTGAAAGGGTTCAGGTGATACAGTTGGTTACTTCCTCCAGGAACGTCTCCAAAAAGGGTAGCAGGTTGAGGACACTTTAAAACCGGTTGTACAGGAAGGGACCAAACAGGCCAAATAATGACCACGTTGCTGGAGCTCTGTTATATGTAACCCAGTTTTAATATTTCAGGTGCACCTGCCAATATTTGTCAGTGAGGATCCATTTATAGGAAAGAACGGCAATGTGTGCTCTTTGCTTTGGAATAGGATGTCGTGCAGCTTTGGAAAACAATGTCTCTGCTGTACTAAGGAACAGTAAATCCTGTCTGTAGGTCAGTGACTCTTCTGTGCTGACAGTCCTATGAAGTAGAAGGACAGATCTTTTCAAACACTTATTGCTGTAAAGGAAAATGAATTTGCATTTTTAACTGTGTTTTCTTGGCCTTTGACAGGGTGAGAACAAAAAAGATTTGAGGAGGGTTTACTGATTTCTGTAACCTTTGCAAACTGGGAGCATATGCACATTTTCTCACTGAGATACTTTTGTATTTGTATTTTATTTTTTTTTAAGCAGTTTTAAGTCTATAACTCATTAACTAACCAAAGAGGCATAAGTAGGACAGAGCATTGGGAAGTAGCGGATGGTGTGCTTTGAGTTTGCCCTAAAACAATCTGTAGGAGTCTGACTTTCCAAAAATAAACTTGTCTTTCTGAACTACTTTTCTGACTTTTAGAGAATGGTTTTGTTTGTTTAGTTGTATATCTAGGAGGCTAACCTATACTTGGCAGAATTTTATTTAAATATTTAAAAAGTTGTAGCTAGGTATTTATTTGCAATAACTTGAATTATGTGATTTTTTTTTTTTTTTAAGACTTGCAGGATGGAAGTACTAGTATTTATTGAATACTTGGATATTTGGTAGTTTTATTTGGGAATCTCTGGGATACATGATAAATTGTCAAATAACAATAAATTTAGAAATGTCTTCAAAGCAAAGTAAATCAGTTCTGTAGTGAAAATCTTGAGTCTAATAAAGTAAAATAAACTTTTTACATTGTATTTCTACACTGTCCACAAGTGCCCAATAATCTTTTTACACAAAGAATGCAGATAATTGTATGGTTCTGTTCAATTTCATTGTTTTATACAAACCATGAGAAAACCTCCTTTTTTGTTAGCTTCAATAAAGAGTAGATTCATGTTCTAGATTCAGCTTCTAAAGGTAACACCTTTGTTTTTTTCTGCAATTTTTAGTAACTATTGTTTTATTTCCCCTCCTCCAAAAAAATCTCATTTTGGTAGCCTGTGCTTGCATTTCATTTGCTCATACAGTCTTCTTAATTTTAGTGGCACGTAATTGTTTTGTGTTCCTAACTTATTTTTATATCTGTTATTCAAGATACTGTCATAGATTCTGTTGAATTGTTTTTGAATTGATAAATGAAACATTGCCTCTCTTCTGATTTTTGTTGTCAGTAACTTTCATATTTTGATATGGTTCCCAGTGGGCCGTGCATGTTGTGTTGTATTTAAGCAATAGTCATCTTCCAATTTTGAACCTGTTGCTCATTTTCTTCCTGGTGACAATGGTTCTTGCTGGATATTGTGTTGAGGATTATTCATTGTTTTCTTATCTGAAATCTATGTTTTGTAAGAATGAGATATTTGTGTATTAGAAGGTAATGTTTATCTGTAACATGGTATTATACCATATATGTGGTAATGTATCGTTACCTAAGGTGGTGTATTACTGTAAGAAAGCCCAAGAAGTGTTTCCTTCCCATTACTTTAATAGATTTTTTCATTTTCAATGCTGATTATTTCCCAGAGGAAGTGACTAGAGAGTTCTGCTCTTTACAGGTAAGCTCATCATATATTTTTAACTATCTAGAATTAAGACATTTTTACTCAAAAAAAAAAAAGCAGGGGAAAATGCAAGAAAACACATGCAATTAGTTATATCTTCTGCTTCAGTGACTGTCTAAATTTCTGTTCAGTTAAATTCTTAACTTTTTCTAATTATTTCTCAGTAGCTGAACTTATTACTCTTTCTAAAAGAAAATAGAATCTGTCCTGAGGTGCCATTCAGCTCTTGTTCGTGAATGTCTGCTACGTGTTTGCATCCAAGAGCAGACATGACAAATTAACTCTTTAACCTTCCATCATCACTCTGACTGTAATTAGCCATATTCATTTCATCAGCAATTTTTAGGTCAGCAAGAATTGCTTATGCTAAGCATATGTTTGTATTTGCTGCCATGAATATCACTTTTTTAGATTTTTTTAACTTTGCTCTTCATTGTCAATATATGAGCCCAAATACAGATCATATATTCAAATGTTGTAGTGAAGTTTTTAAGGTAGTCTTATGTTTTTATATGTTGATGTCCATATTTGTGTATGATTACACTGAATACAGTTCTAATCTATGGTGTTTCCAGGCAGTTTGGAAACTCTTTTTTTTTTTGGTATAACACTGCTGAACCATGGAATGCATCTTACATGACCTAACACAGTCTTTTAAATCCATATTAAGGTAAAATACTGTATTTTTTTTCTTCTGTATGTGTAGATAATGCCACTATAGTAATAAACTGGTTAAAATTAAGCACTGCCTTTATTAGGAATATGATAGAAAACTGTTTGAGAGCTTTGTAAAAGGAGAGGTTTGCCCTATGCGTGTTTTAGCGGAAATAAAATATGTTTAATTAACAGGTACTATTTCAGAATATAATTTTAGCATAATTTTCTATAAAATTCAGGAGGCTGTTGTAACATGTTTGTTAATGGTATCTTTTAACAGCTTACTGAATTTTGTCAGCAATTTAAATTTGACTGAGACATGCTTCTTTTTGACCAATGTCATGACTTCTTGTGAATCACATTCAGGCAGTGTTCTTGTGTCTCTCTCTGTGCTCTTCTGGTCTGAAAATCCAGATATCCTTTGTCCTGGACTGGAGGTGGTAGGGAGTGCCTGGGTGTCAGTATCAACTTACAGTGTGAGATGTGGTTGTAAAACACTGTAATCCTTTCTAGAAGGAGCTATGTATAGCCATCATTTACAATATATCAAAGACCTGAACAGAGTTCACAGGCACATTACTACAGATGATGGATAACATGTTCCTCTGTCCTTTCCAGAGATACATATAATAAAACTGGGTCATTTCTCCAGTAATTTTCAGGGCACTTTATTTCTGTGCATTCCTTCTGTCAGTTTTGCTCTGATCTTATTGTTCAAATGCAATATGACTTAAACTGAAATTTTTAGGCCATTAGGTAACAGCAATTAATTACTCATCAGTTAAACAAATGAGTGTAGTGTACCAGGTGGGTACTCTTTGCCCATCCCGGGGATGCAGGGGACACTGTCCTTCCAGTTTAGTCTAAAAGCACTTCTGAGGAGTCTTAACTGAAACTACTGAAGCCATCATCTACTTGTGCTTTAGAGTCAGGGATTCCCCCTGGGGACATGATAAGTGCCCTGTCCGTTTTCATCCTGCTTCCCAAAAGGACGTTAATGCCCTCTACAGCTAGCGGGCAGTACAGGTGTTCAGATGTAACAGACAGTTCTTGTTTCTCTTCTTCAGGAGTTTCAGTGTTTGTCAGGAATTTGTGTCTCAGTTAAATAATGGCAGAGTGGATTATGTCAGGACTTGTGTATGTAAGTGGAGTTTGATATTTAAAAACATGTAACTGGCTGAAATTCATGACAGCAAAAGCAAGTCATTTATCTAGAGTTTATTCTACATTTTCATTATTTGAATCATCTGCCCTGTCTACACGAACAAACTTGATATTTAAAAGCATTTATTTTGAGATAATGACATCAGTAAAAGGGGTTGGTCTAATATGAAGGTATGGATATTTAAACAGCTGTCTTATCAGCCTAGTTACCAAATGACTTTGCTGACATTGTGTAGTTGTGTTGCCTTTTTTTTACATGAGTCCCCTGCACGTCACGTACATGTCTGTGTGTGACTTTCCCACCAAAATCTAAGCACTCTAAGGGATAGACTCGAAACTGTTATAGGACCCCCTCTCCTTTTCAAGCAGAATGAGTGAGAAACCCTGGGACAGAATTGTCGCATACTTGGTGTGACACATTTAAGACTTGTAACAAATGACTGATAATAGCAACGACTGCAAACTTCCTACACCCACTAGACCCACACTTTGTATCATTAGCTGGAGCCTACTTGCCCTTGTCTCACCGTGAGTACCTCTGTTGGCCCCTCAGTAGGGCTGTGCCTCAGGAAGTTCTAAATTCCTTAAAAGTCGCATTATGATGAGAGAAGAGGGTGCTTATCTTAAGGCTAAGAGTTTGAGGCCAGGCGATCTGAAGCGGTGAGTGATTTACATCCCTCTGTTTACACGGTGGGAGCTGCAGTCTGTACCTCAGGGGTGAGGCTCCACTGTTGGTAGGGACGGGGAGGATGCTCCTTGTGTAGCTGACGTTTTGGGGGAAACAGGGATGTCGCAGGAGCTGAGGAGATGGAGATAAGCAGCAAGAGGGTTGAAAGATGGAAGACTAAGTGAAAAAGAACATAGAGAAAAGACTGATACGTGGATGCGACCATGGAGAGTTGTGTCGGGTGATCTTAATGCAGTAGCACAGGATGTGGACAGTTCTATTCTGATTCTATTCTATTTCTGTTCTGTGATTTCTGTTCTTATAGCAACAATGGCTTCAGTCGTTGCTCTGTTAGCGCTGCCAGACCATCAGCAGTGAAGGCATTTATAAACCACATAAAACCTAATAGTGCTCTAGTACACGTTTCTAAAAGATCTTCTCCGCTTACGGGCGTCCTGCCATGGGAAAGCCGATCCCTGTTATCCTATTATCTGAGGGCGGTGTGGTAAATCAGAACCTGGAGTGACCCGCCCGTTTGAAGGCGTCGGAGCTTCCATAAACTGAGCTTAAATCTTGATAGTAAGGAAACAGAACGTCTCCCTGTTGGATGTTTAGGGATGAATTACACGTAGGGCTGTGCGCTTTGGCTCTAGCAGTGCCAGGAATGTCCAGCACTGTTCCCTTCCGTCGCTCCCGTCCCCGCAGCCCCCGCGGGCTCGGTTCGCTTGGGGGGGCGATGCTGGGAGAGGCCTTTGGGAAACTGCGGCTCCCGCGGGGCGTGCCGGTGTTTCCGGGTGTGTCCCGGTGCGTGTCCCGGTGCGTGTCCCGGGTGCGTGTCCCGGTGCCCAGGGCCGCCGCTCCCCCTCCCCGCGCTCCCCTTCCATCCCCAGGCCCCGTTTCCCGGCCCGGCCCCGCCCCTTCCCGGCGGGGGCGGGGCGGGGGCCCCGCTCACGTGACGGCGCGCGGCCAATGGCGCGATCGCGTGATGCGCGGCGCGGGCTGCGCGCGCGGCGGGGGCAGCGCAAGATGGCGGCGGGCGCGTGAGCGGCGGCGCGGCCGGGGCGCAGGGAGCGAGGCCCGAGGGGAGCGGGAGGGGCCGGCGGGGCCGCCCGGGGCGATGGTAAAATGACCCAGGCGGGCAAGAAGAAGAAGCGCGCCGTGAACCGCAGCATCATGCTGGCCAAGAAGATCATCATTAAGGACGGCGGGACGGTGAGGCCGGGGCGCGGCTGGAGGCGCCGGGGATCCCGGCGGGGGCGGCGGCGGGCGGGCAGGGCCCCGGCAGCCGCGCCGGTGGCGGTGCCCCAGCGGCTCCTGCGGCCCGTAGGGCAGTTCCGGCCGCGGGACGGGCTTGGGGCGAGGAGCGAGCGCGGCCCCAGGCGCTGGGCCCGGGCCCGGCGGGGCGTTGGGGCCGCTCCGGCTGCGGGGCGTGCCCGGGGCCGCGCAGGGCGGGGGTGGCGGCGCGGACCCCGTGCTCGATGTGCTCGCTGTGCTCGCCGTGCCCGCGGGCCGGGACAGAACGCACAGCCAGGGGAACGAGCTCCTGCGACTGAGAAGTCTCGCAAAGGGCGCCTGGAAGAAGGATTTTGCAGTTCCTCGCGCTGTCTTACATCCTCTGGAATACATAAATTTTAAAAAGAAGAGAAGTTGTTAAGTGGTTTTGGCTGTTGGAGCTTGGGGTTTGTTTGTGTTTTGGGTTGTTTTTTTTTAAATTGACGAGTGCCATTACTTCCGGTGTATCATTGCTCCTGGATTTTTTCCACTCTGTAACGTTCTGTGTCTTCCGTGTGTCCTCTTCTGAACACGGTGTCATTATTTCACATAAGAGACATCTTGACAGACTAAGTTGCTGATAGCCCTTCAGTTTGTCTTTTTGGATCAGTAGTGGAGGAAAGGGAGGTGTCAGAATCACTACACTTGTTCATCGAAGTGATGGCCATCTGTCTGGTTTACTTCAGTGTTAAGAAGCAAAACTAATTCCAGCGATGGCTGTTGGTGTTTTCCAGGACGTGTTTTCCCATTCTTTGTAAAGACAGAAATGTACGAGATTATGTTGTACGAACGTTAAATGCAAGTGTTTTAGAAGGACTAGTAAAAGCAGAGTAAATGCTGTTACTCAGGGGACATGATGCTTCGGAATTTCTCTCTGGAGCAATCACTGGTAAGGTGCAGTCTGCTTCCAAGTGCCCTTCACCTGTCAACTTTAACTTTCTTATGCTGAGAGAGGAGAAAGGATGTTACAATTAACTGCGTTCAGTGATACTTGTAGTGCAGCATTCAGTGCCTCCCACCAGGTCCAAAAGCAGAGTGCAAACTTGCGTGAGCTCTGTATGATGTTCGGCTTTTTAAAACAGTGGAAACACACCATAAACATTAGATGAAAGTGTGTAGATTGTTGTTGGGTAAGAAATTTCAGCTTGTGATACTTTCTGCTTTCAGATAAATGTTTTGGAATTTATTTGTTTTAAATACATTTTTAAAGTTAAGAGGTCTGGTATAGCAGAGTATTCTTTATAATGACAACAACAACTTTTTGCGTGGATTTTTTTTTTTTAATGTTTGCTCATTGCTCAGCGTCCTCAGCTGCTTTGTTACCCAGCACGTTGTGTTGGGTAACAGGTACATGAAAATGGCCCCCATGTCTTGAATGTCTCCCAGTGGCAAACCAGTAATTAATCAAGTACCTTCATGTACAGTTTCCAGACTGATTGGTTTGTTTTGAAACTGTTTGACATCAAAGAAAACTGTGTGAGCCAACAAGAAAATACAGCTGGTTAATGAGGCAGTGGCACAGGCGAAAAGAGTTTCTGATGGGGAATTTCGGTCAAATCTAACGTAGTTGTCACTGGGTCTGATGTGGCAAGGAAAAAAAAAAAACCTAGCAAAAATGAAACCCACCCATTGTTTCTGCAAAGCCTCTTCTCCCACCACAGTTTGTGCTGGGTCGTCTTGACAAGGCAGTGGGAGGTGCAGGAGGTTGGGTTGGTGCATGGGAGTATTTTTGGCTTGTTCTCTTTGCAGCTTTAGTAGCTGTATCAGAAAAAATGTGTAATGCTGTGTGTGCTCAAGTGTGTGTTGTCAGATTTCACCGAAGGAGAGGCAGTAACACCAGTGAAGTGGTTTCATAGAATGATAAATGGTTTAGTTGGAAGGGACCTTAAAGATCATCTTGTTCCAGCCCATGTAGTGGAACCTTCCACTACATCAGGTTGCTTAAAATCCCATCCAACTTGGCTGTAAACACTTCCAGGGATAGGGCATCTACAGCTTCTGTTTCAATACTTTTTTTTTCCCCAGTAATTTTAATTTTGTCTTCCTTTGTGACCAGCCACTATTTTTCTTATGTGAGATGATGAAT